TTTTGTATGTGAGGGGCTTGGACTTCCAGCAAGCATGCTTGAACGTGTTAAATAGGAGCGAATGGAGACGAATGGCTTTTAGGGCTTGACCTGCTGTTGGAGTGTAACATTTATGAAAGGATTCAGGGAGACTGGCAGGCTGGACTTAATTCCTGGAGATGGGAAATACAATACCGGCACTCTGAAGGAGGGGAGTTAATGTTGCAGTTTTATTGCTGTAATGTAAGCATGCCTCTGGTAAGACAGGGATGGAGTGATTGATGATGAAAGTTTTTGTTTTTCGGGCCACCCTGCCTTGGTGGGAAATTGCCGATGTGTTAATAAATAAAAAATATTGGTTTTAGTAAACAAATTTGCTTCCATGTAGGGATTGGAGAATGCCTCTTCTGATTATCTTAACTGGAGAGTGTAGGTGCCAGTTGGCCATTTTGGGAACATTACAACACATTTGACCCTCGTTTAACACAGTTGTCATGTTCCTAAAAAGTGGAGTGTCAGTAAGGAATCATGTAAAATGAACTCAAGAATGAGGGGAAAATAGAATTACTGTGTGTTGCTGGGACCCACCAAAAATGCTAAACAAATTTTTCTTAGGTCTTGTTATTCTGTAAAAAATGTTTAGTAATTGTGGCTGATATAATTGAGGTGTACATGATTCAGATAATTGTAGCTTTTAAAAGGTTACTTTTTTTTTTTTTTTTTTAAAACATACTGGCCGCCTCCCACTGAGGTAGGGTGAGCTGCCAAAGAAGAAATACTGTCACTCATTCCATCAATGCTCAAATGCTCCTCCAAACTGCAATATCTTCACCTCATTTAGTTTCTCTCTACTTAAATTCTGATTGTTGTTGTATGTTGATCTTAAAAAGGTGTGGAGAGGGATGTTCTGGCCCTACTGGGTTGAGGTGGATGATAGTGGATTGTGGGCTGAAGTGGATGACTGAGGTTATTGGAGTGATGTCAGTTCAGAGTTGTCATTGGATGATTGTACTAGTCCTCAGGTACTCTGTAAGGCATTGCTGGTCTGTTTTACTCTGCAGTACTCTATGCAGCTGATAGTAAGGCATCAGCTGCTCCGGACCCCATTGATTTTTTGTGTGACGGTGTTAGTTATGGTGGTGATGCTTAGAAACTGCTCTGCTTGTCATGATTAACACCATCAAAGAAGACAGGATTCAGTTGCTCTCGGAGCCTCTTGGGCCCACCACAACCCCTTGACCCTTCAATAACAACACAGCAGTAATTCACACAGTAAACGCTGATGTTTGAGTACTTTTAATTTTGATAATTTGAATTTAATAGTTTTACTAAAGTGTACTGGTAGTGAATTTCTCAGTAGAGAGCATGAGTGAGAGAGGGAGAACATGAGTGAAAGAGAGCAAAAGTGAGTCAGAGAGCATGAGCAAGCAAGAGAGAGCAAGCATGAGTGAGAGAGCATGAGAGAGAGAGAGAGCACATGAGTGGGAGAGTGAGTGCATACATGAAAAGTGCATACATGAAAAGTGCATACATGAAAGAGTGCATGCATGAGAGAGAGTGCATGCATGAGAGAGTGCATTCATGAGAGAGTGCATTCATGAGAGAGAGTGTATGCATGAGAGTGCATGCATGAGTGAGTGAATTCATGCATACAAATGAATACTAAAAATATTCTGAATAGTTGATAGGAAAAGTGGAGATATGAAGGTAACATAAAAAAAAAAACATTAAAATTTAAGAGAAAATAAAGATTCTTAGCACCATCAAGAGGAGAAAGAGTCAGTATTTGTAAGCTGAGAAAAAAACTGTGCTGAAATAATGCTAGAACATTTTCTTTCACAGAATAAATTGCAGAATAATTGGTGTGGATTACAGTGGTAGTGCTACTACTGAATTATATGAATTAATGCTGAAGATGGGCCATTGCAAGCATAGCGATGCTGATGTAACTAGACATAGGTAATCATGAGCATAGTTTGGGGTGATATTGATTCCACTGGATGAACACTGACAGCAAGCCTGACCCATGGCCAGGCTCTGAGAGTAGAAAGACTCTCAAAACTCATCAAAGGTAGGCCAGAGAAATCTGGTCTATAGTGACATTGGATGGTGTCAAGAGACTTCATAGCTGACAGAAACCCCTAAAGTGGGCTGCCTGAAGCTTTTCTGCTGTTTTGTTTGAAAGCAGTCATGTTGCAGTGTTGCCAGCTTGATAAGTGTGACTTAGTCAGTTCTGTATGGTACAGGCAAAGCCTTAATTAAAGTACAGGTCTCCCTCAACATTCGCGAGGGTTAGGGGATCAAGAGCCTCGCGAATGTTGAAAAACCGTGAATGTTTGGTGCCCCAATATATTGTAGGGAAATAAATTACAATACTGCTTCCTTAACTTGTTGAACCATGAATAATCATAAAATACATGAAAACGTCGTAAATTGTACTAAATATATACATGTTATGCTTTAATAATGTATGTTATTTAATAACATGTATGTTAACATGTATGTTATTAAATACCACAGACTCCACCACTGCCTCCACCAATGCCTCCACCACTGCGAGTCCCTACTACCCTCCCTCCGACTCCCACAACTGGCAGCCAGCCCTCCCACCACTCAGTGTGGTGAGTGCTTTGTTTGTTCATTATTTGCTATTAAACTACAGTATAAATAATGTAAACCCATTCATGACTGCATATTGGAATGGCTATTAGGAATGGTATTAGACGGTGACATCATGTGTTTACTCTTGAACACTGCAAAGAATCAAACATTTCTGCTATTGCTAATAATAACAATAGTAATTTTTTTTTTTTTTTTTTTTTTCAACAAGTCGGCCGTCTCCCACCGAGGCAGGGTGACCCAAAAAGGAAAGAAAATCCCCAAAAAGAAAATACTTTCATCATCATTCAACACTTTCACCACACTCGCACATTATCACTGTTTTTGCAGAGGTGCTCAGAATACAACAGTCTAGAAGCATACACATATAAAGATACACAACATATCCCTCCAAACTGCCAATATCCCAAACCCCTCCTTTAAAGTGCAGGCATTGTACTTCCCATTTCCAGGACTCAAGTCCAACTATATGAAAATAACCGGTTTCCCTGAATCCCTTCACTAAATATTACCCTGCTCACACTCCAACAGATCGTCAGGTCCCAAGTACCATTCGTCTCCATTCACTCCTATCTAACACGCTCACGCACGCTTGCTGGAAGTCCAAGCCCCTTACCCAATAGTAATAATAATAATAATAATAATAATAATAATAATAATAATAATAATAATAATAAATATGATATAATTGAAGAAGGAAATTGTACAAAAATACGAGGGAGTGGTTGACACATCGTCAGTGTGACTTTGTTTATGCTGGAGTGAACAATAGTCTCCCTGCTCTTCCAAACATTTCACAATAATTCAGCGGTTGAGGCAGTGGTATTTAATAACATATATGTTATAAATAATAACAGTACATGTTATTATTAATAACATGTATATTATTAACATGTATGTTATTAAATACCATTGTCTCAATCACTGCCTCTACCACTCCAGTCACACTCAATCTACAAGCACCAAACACAATGAATTATTGTGAAATGTTTGGAAGAGCAGGGAGACTAATGTTCACTCCAGCATAAACAAAGTCACACTGACGCTGTGTCAACAACTCCCTCGTATTTTTGTACAATTTCCTTCTTCAATTATATCATATTTATTATTATTATTATTATTATTATTATTACTATTGTTATTATTAGCTGTAGCAGAAATGTTTAATTCTTTGCAGTGTTCAAGAGTAAACACATGATGTCACCGTCTAATACCTGTCCGAATAGCCATTCCAATATGCAGTCATGAATGGGTTTACATTATTTATACTGTAGTTTAATAGCAAATAATGAACAAACAAAACACTCCCCACACTGAGTGGTGGGAGGGCTGGCTGCCAGTTGTGGGGGTCGGAGGGAGGGTAGTAGGGACTCGCAGGTGGCGGGAAACTTAAATATGATTTGGCGGCTGGGAATTTGGTGGCTGGGAATTTGGCGGTTGGGAATTCGCGAATGTGTGAAGCCCTTGAAAGTTGAAAACGTGAACGTTGAGGGAGACCTGTACCTCTTTACAAGTTACTTCCTTGAACTTGCGCTACAGTAAATTCTCAATATAATGGACTAATAGGGGGTGTCTGTTATATCAGAATGATGGTAATAAATAGTAAAAAATTATTCTAAATACTGTACTATACACCTAATATAGTTCTGTACCCACAAATTACACATATACATGTATATACTTAAATAAACTTTAAAAAAAATAGGAGCTGAAAGTGCAATTTAACCAGTGGATTTTGCCTACAATTTTAAAAATCTTTCATATTGATGTCTGTTACATTGAGGGTTTACCGTATTCCATGTCTATAGAATACACCGACAAGAAAAATTAAGTAAGCTTTCACAATATTTACTTGTGAAGCCTGGACATACATCATTCTAGTCTATATTCTGTGAGTATTACATGTATTATAGTATTATACAGTGCAGGAATATCTCTTATGTGAGAACATTTAATATGTTTTCAACCAGAATATTTTGCACGGTACCGTAACCTCTTAGTGGCGTGTTTTTTTTTTTTTTTTTTTTTTTTTTTAACCAGTTCAAAGTGTTAAATGAGGCTTGCCTTTTATTTGCTAAATATCAATCTCTGGTGGCTAGTACTGTATTAATTTGCTGTTATGTACTGTATTTTAAGTTTTTTGACCTGACATAAAATTTTGAGATAAAATTTATTAAGTTTTAAGTTAAATTTTTGGTGTACCAATTAACTAGACTCCATGAATTTGCCCAGTGCCAATGGAGTGTGAATTTCTTGCATTACTAATGTAAGGGGAACAAGATTAAGATGAAATTAAAGAGAAATGAATTTGTCATTATTGTATGTGTGAAGCTCCAAAATTATGAAAGGCTGTTTAGTGTGAAAGACAAAAGTGATTGGTCTTTCCAATTGGCTTATTACAGAGTGGAGCGCAGACGGCGTGACAAGACGTACGTGTGTCCATGTGCCATCTATGTCTTCCTCTCGTCTGTCTTCTCCTGTGTTGCTCCCAAGGCCTGCAACTCCCCTCCCTGCTCCTCTGATTGCCCTTCCTCATCCTCGGGTTCTCCCAGCTGTGCCAGAGATTCTAGTCAAGCATGCCCTTCTTCATCCTGTGCTTCTCCCAGTTGTGTAGGCAGCTGTAATAATGCTCAACCCTCTACATCCTCTTCCTTAGCTCCTAACTGTTCTGTAGTGTATCACAAGTCTTTCCCTTCTCGTATACCCAATCCATGTACACCAGCTGCACCAGTTCCCTGCATAGTAGGCTGTAATGAGGCCTGTCCTCCCTACACTGCCTCTGGCTCTCCTTGCACTGGACCCTCCCCCTCTTCCCGGTGTGACCCAGCATCGACCTCACGACACAGTGCCGCGTGTTGCAGGCCAGGTGATACTAGCGTTCTGGGTTCTCCGAGCAGACATTCCACTTCCTCCAATACTATTTCTTCAAGTCCAGCCTCCACCATATCTCCAGCTGGTGGAAATATAGTTTTGAGCAACCCCAATACAAGTGCTGATGTGCCACAGGAAGGAACTCCAGTCAGAAGGTAAATAAGAGAGCATTCATTTTTCAGTACAGCCTCTCCTTACTTAACGACGGAGTTCCGTTCCTAAGACCACGTTGGTAAACTCATTTGTCGCTAAGTGAGGAGCATACTATAATGATAGTGGGTTTGTGTCAACCATCTTTGATATTGTTTTAATGTCACTTTTGTACCATTTATAACATTTCTGGTATATTTTTAAATGCTTATACAGTAGGATACTGTATATTGTATAAACAGAGTAGAGGAATTCAGCTCTTACATAAATTATTTAGGTATGCATACTGGTCAGAGAGCCTGTCGTTGGTAAATAAGTACATCACTAAGTGAGGAGAGGCTGTATTTAGGTAATTTTTACTTACCATTACAGCTTATCAACAGATAATCGTGGCAAAAGTTGAAATCTTTCTTCAACTTTTTGTAATTCACATGTAGCTTCTATTTTCTTATAAAGTGCTGTACAGTAGTCCTCCTGTATTTACGGAGGATATGTTCCAAGATCTACCGTGGATAGTAGTAAACCCTGTACAGTCTCTTCTCACTTAACGACTGAGTTCCGTTCCTAAGAACATATTGGTAAACGAATCCGTCGCTAAGCAAGGAACATACTATAATGGTAGTGGGTTTGTGTCAACCATCTTTGATATTGTTTTAATGTCACCTTTGCACCATTTATAACATTTTTAGTATATTTTTAAATACAGCCTCTCCTCACTTAGCGACTTACTCGTTTACAGACGACTTGGACTTATGACGGGCTCTTTGATCAGTATTCATACCTAAATACGTACAGTAGGGCCCCTCTTATACAGCAGGTTAGGTTCCAGGCTACTACCGGAAAGCAGACATCGCTGGGAAGCAGAACGCCATTTTTTTCACTTATAAATGCCAGGTAACAAGTTTACACTAACATATATTAACCCTTTCAGGGTCCGTCTTGTAGATCTACGGCTTTATGTTCAGGGTCCAAACCATAGATCTATGCCAAAATTCCAGCAGCGTCAAATTTAGCGCGAGAAGGCTGGTAGGCCTACATCTGAGAGAATGGGTCTGGGTGGTCAGTGTGCACACTATAGAAAAAATCTGGACGCCCACATGGCATTGTGTGAACACCGCCAAAGTAGCTTAGTTCATCGTGCCTGGCGGCAAGGAAGCTCTCACTCCCCACTCACTCTCTGGCGAATTCTGACTCCTCTTCACAACTTACAGTTCTAAGACTGATGGAAGTGGAGCTGAAGAGGAATTCTATGGTTTTGAACCATATGGCACCATTGTACCATATGGTACCATTGTACCATATGGTACAATGATGCCATGTCATAGTGGTATTGTATGGTACAATGGTACATTGTGCCATATGGTACATTGTGCTATATGGTACATTGTGCCATATGGTACATTGTGCCATATGGTACATGGTACCATATGGTACATTATACCATATGGTACATTATACCATATGGTACATTGTACTATATAGTATAGGGACCCTAATGGAAATAAGTCTCTGACTTTTTTGGGTTATCCTAGGTTCTCCAAACATATGCTGCTAAGTATGATATTCTATGTAACTTTATTTGTGTATACCTAAATAAACTTAGTTACGATGTCACATGCACTTGAGTAAGTTTATTCAGGTGTACACAAATACAGTTAAATAGATTATCATACATAGCAGCATATGTATAAAATCCTAGGATAACCCAAAAAAGTCAGGGTGACTTATTTCCATAGGGATCCCTGTATCTGCACCATATGGTACCCTGCACCATATTGTACCCTGCACCATATTGTACCCTGTACCATAAGGTACCCTGTACCATAAGGTACTCTGTACCATAAGGTACCCTGTACCATAAGGTACCCTGTACCATATGGTACCCTGTACCATATGGTACCCTGTACCATATTGTACCCTGTACCATGTGGTATCCTGCACCATATGGTACCCTGCACCATATGGTACCCTGCACCATATGTTATCCTGTACACAAATAACCCGCACATAAAAGAGAGAAGCTTACGACGACGTTTCGGTCCGACTTGGACCATTGACAAAGTCACACTAACCAGAGGTGGAGCAGGACGGCTATATAGGCAGGAAGAGGTGGTGGTAGTGGTAGTAGTAGTAGTACAAGAATTGTATATAATACCGACAAGATGAAATTAAGACACATGCACAACACCCGGGCATCCCCATCGTAGACGTCCTGCTCCACCTCTGGTTAGTGTGACTTTGTCAATGGTCCAAGTCGGACCGAAACGTCGTCGTAAGCTTCTCTCTTTTATGTGCGGGTTATTAGTGTATCGTTCCAGTCACGGTATTGTGCCTTTTTGTTATTTATCCTGTACCATATGTTATCCTGTACTGTATGGTACCCTATACCATATAGTACAATGTACCATATGGTACCCTGTAACATGTGATACCATGTACCATATGGTCAATAGGAGGTGTTGGTGGCAGGAGACACCAGCCAAGACTGAGTGAGTGGCGACGCAAGCTAGCTACTGACTCAGCAGTTTCCAAGACAAAGCTATCTGTCATCCATCTCAAGTAACGTGTCGAGTTCCTGCACATTTGTAAATATATAATAGAACATTACTAATACACCTACCATCCGACTTACGACTGAGTTCGGTTCCGAGAAACCGGTCGTAAGTCGAACTTTACTACTGAATATCAACAAAACATTTTTGTAATGACTTTATTTTATTGTTTTATTTTGGTATTTCATGGTTTACTTTACTTTTTATGCTGTTAGTACTGTATTTTATACTCTTAAGGTTTAGGATAAACACTGTGTACAACACAAATAGTTGTTCATTTCCCAGAAATTTGGCATAAAAAACACGGTCGTAAGTCGAGTGGTCGTAAGTCGAGCAGGTCGTAAGTCGGATGGTAGGTGTATACAACATTTTTGCATATTTTTGTTGTAGACAATTATTGTAAACAAAATAAAGATGAAAATATTAGTGTGTTTATTGTGTTGAATACAACAGTACCATATAGTACCATATGGCACAATGAACCATATGGTATCATTGTACTGTATGGTACAATGTACCATATGGTACCATTGCACCATAAGGTACCATTGCACCATATGGTACCATTGTATCATACCATTGTACCAAATGGTGCCATTGTACCATATTCTACCATATAGTACGATTGTATCATATGATGCCATTGTACCATATGGTACCATTGGACCCTATGGCACTATTGTACTATATGGTACCGTTGTATTCAACACAATAATCGCACTAATATTTTCATCATTTTGTTTACAATAAACTTGTAAACAAGTTTTGTAAGCAATATAATGATAAATTAGTGTAGTTATTGTGTTGAATACAATGAGTGTACACTTATACAATATACATTATATTGGTCTCACAGGCCACAAATGTTACTAGAAAAAGAAAAAAATAGAAAAGAAAAGAAAAAAGTATAAAAAACGTAAAATAAAAAATGCGATTTTGTGGAAGTCACTGATGTTGCCGCCACCAGGTCATTTTGAGTCAACTTCCCGCCGCTGTATATCGGCAAGTACTGATCAGAAATTTTTTGTTTTTGTTTTATTACCTTCACAAAAATATCTATAATTCTGTAAGATTTTTTTTTTTTTTTTTTTTTCCCAAAAAATTTCTTGGACACTGGAGCACCAACTTCAGATTTTGGCCTTGGACCCTGAAAGGGTTAAGTTAGCAATAAAACTAGGCACTAAACAATAAAAAGTAAAATGTGCACACAGTACACTCATGACTTAACCCTTTGACTGTTTTCGACGTATAAATACGTCTTACGAGCCAATGTTTCTGACGTATATATACTCAATAATTCTAGCGGCTTCAAATCAAGCGGGAGAAAGCTGGTAGGCCCACATGTGAGAGAATGGGTCTGTGTGGTCAGTGTGCACCACATAAAAAAAATCCTGCAGCACACGTTGCGTAATGAGAAAAAAAAACTGATCGTTTTTTTTGGAATAAAACGCCGACTTTGAGGTGTATTTTCGTATAGTATTTATCATTGTATTCGCGTTTTCATGGTCTTAGGTGATAAAATGGAAAACATATTACAGAAATAGAGATGATTTTCATTACTTTGACGATGAAAACGACCTTGAAACTGAGCTCAAAGTAGAGGAAATGTTCGATTTTTACCAATGTTCAGGAGTAAATAAATCACACCACACGTCCAATACACGTCAACTGGGGAGTCTAATATTCTTTCACTAGTGCACTGATATTATTTATACCATTTTTACAATAATGCAGTAGTCTGCATAACAGTAAATTTTGTATTTTTTTGTATGAATAAAAAATCAAAATAGAAAGCAATAATAATATAAGAGGGGCCTAGAGATGTGACTAATGAACAGAGCATATGTTATTTTAGTGCCACGAATGTCTACCTTGTTTATTCTGGACCTATTTTGAAATTGGCATCTTTTTTAGTTTGCATGAAATTGGCCAAATTGCCAATTTCTGACCACCATATTGGGTAGTCCAAATTAGTAAATGGGAGGTTTCTTGTACTCAGCTGATAGATAAAATGGAGTTCTAAAGAAATAGCTATGAGTTTGGTCAACTGGAACAAAGGAATTGGCTGAAAATAGGGCTCAAATTTGGCAAAATCGCCGATACGCATATGTCGCCGAGACCGCTAACTTCGTGGGAGCATAATTCCATGAGTTTTTGAGCAAATTTCGAACTTTTGGTGTCATTACCATCGGGAAAAGATTCTCTATCATTTCATAAGAAAAAAATTATTTTTTTTTTTTTCAAAAATTGAGCGACATAGAATGACAGTTTCAGAAAGGGGCCTGAAACAGTCAAAGGGTTAAAATATTTGTAGTCCTAATGTAGGGTGAGAGGTGAGTTTTATTTGTAGGAAGTCAGGTTTGTGAGGTATGATATCCAGCCAGGTCAGCCCACCCCACTCACATGTAATATGCTTGGACATTTAATTAAAGCGCCCCAGAATGATAAAATAC